CTCTCTCTCTCTCTCTCTCTCTCTCTCTCTCTCTCTCTCTCTCTCTCTCTCTCTCTCTCTCTCTCTCGCTCTTTACGTAACAGCGTGCGAGCTATGCGCTGGAAATAGGTATCGACAGAATTGCAGGTGCATTGTCCGAATATGAAGCGAAGTATGCGACAGCGTAGAAACTTTCATAAGGAGAACAGAAAGCTTCGAGGAATTTATTGAATATAGAGAAAACATCAAAATCGCGCACTTTCCGTCGAATACGAATTGAAGCTTGCTTTCAGTTTGATTAAAGATCCTTTTTTGCACAATTAAACACTTTCAACGTTAAATATTTTTCCGATTCAATCGAATTTATCTTAAATTTTCTCAATTTAAATCTTCTTGAATTAAAATTCAATTAAACATCTATACGAAATTAAACGAAGACGAAGACTTGGTATTCGTGCTTGAAATTTTATTTTTTTTTAATTTAAATTTAAGTTTTTAATAATGTATCAAGATCCAATTACCACTTCTTGATATTCATAATCTAGAGGAAATTCAGGACTTCTGATATTTTGCATGATTGAAAATTTTAATTATAATAGAGGATAATATTGAACGAAAAATGCATTTTTCGCAATATCTTAAAGCAACCAGTGTCCACGATGATATGCAAATCGTCGAATAAAATTCTTCGCGCTTCCAATAAAACGGAGATATTCACGGCGAGATATTTCCGCGATGCGCGCAGAAAGATCACAGCTATGCTGAGTTAAACTGCTGAGTCCGGCGCGAAAGAATCGTTCGGACGCAATAGCTGCATAAAGGAGCAAGAAGCTTGTCCTTGGTATTTTACTGGTCGGGCGAGTAAAATTCCACCGGATGCTGCTAATCCTCGGGAATACCGAAACGGAGCTCACGGATTTTGCGCGAAAGAAGCTTCTGCTTGACTTGTTGGAAAACGGACACGCGACGTCAAGCTGACGCGACAGCCGGAAGGCTTTCTGTTACAATCGAGCAGAATGTCAACGAGAGAAAAAAATCAAGATGCATACTTCGAAAGATTGCAGTCTCGAGAATGCTTCGCTACTTTGCTGTCTTTCGTACAGAGCTTTACCAAGTTTGCAGAGTTTATTTATCGCGCCCGGCGAAGAAGGGTGTCACAACTTAAAGAAATCAATTTTTGGAAAACAAAGTTGTAAAGTTTACTTAGATCCATAGCGGTTAACAGACAAAGTTTCATGCTGGCGTAGTAGAGCGCGTAGCATCTGGAGTTGTCGCGACAAACTCGATGGAAATCTGTAATTTTACTTTTAAATTATTTAATTTCTTTTTCCATTGTAACATTCCTCTTGCCAAGTACGATTTGAAATAAATGATCAGATGTTCAATCAGATTACGATATTGCGATAGATGCGATTATAATATTTATCATTTATGCAATTAATGGTAATCATATTTAATAACTTTTTTACGATAATATAAATAGTAATTTCTTATCGATTTTATCAGACATGTCGATAAAAAATATTTTAGTGTCACGTTTACTCTCGAGATATAATTATTCGATTGACCTCAGCAAATGAGGAATAATATTTCGCATAATGAATTACTCGGATTACCTCGTGGATTTACCTCATAAGCGTTACATCATAGAATTCGATACGAAAACAGAGATAAATTTATCGCGAGCGTGGAACTCGTAATAATTCTTCCTGGAAAATAATTCTGCACGATAACCCATGAAGGTCTTGATATCCGTTAAGCCACGATTTTTCCGGTCAATGCATGAATCGGCTGAGTTATGTAAAACCACAAGGCGCGAACAAAGCGATTCGTGACGAGAAAAAACACGAAAAGTGTCGGAGTTCTTTAAAACTGTGTTTTTCAGCCGCTCGATATTAACACTTACATTTAAGCAGATACGTCTATTGAAGCCAGCATGTTTTTTCAAAATATATTTTTGCATATGTTTCTATACTTTAGATAAGGCCCTTCTAATAATATTTGTGTAGAAAAATAGAAAAATAACGACAACAGAAAATGTTAGAAAGCGTGAGTTATGATCCATTTAACTGGAATTGTGGATAAAATTTCGTAATAGCCACGATAATTCTTTACAAATAAAATTTCAAAGAATACGAAACATATCATTTTAAGCTGTTATTCGTCTAAAGCACACTTTTTTAATAGCTGCAATAACTCTTTATTGTGGCTATCGACAAAAATATGCTTTAGACAAATAACAGCTTAAAATTATATCTTTCGCATTTTATCAAAATGTTATGGTACGATATTTTAAAATATCAAGTTATAGTATTATGCAAAATTGTTTGCTTTCTCCGCTCTTATCGAAGATCTAATATATAAAATAATAATCAATGGAATTTTCGAAAAAATCATCTCTGAATTTTCACATTTTTTTTCTTACGTTCAGCATTACGGTACTTTTTAAACGATTCGACGATCAATATTTTTAGTTCACAAACGAGATGCGAGAAGAAACGTTTACGACCTTGAAACAGGACAGGTGATAAAACGTTAGTTCGCTCCACTTTTCGTCGAAAAACACGCAACTATTAACTGAAACGAAAGGTTTGGCCTATCGCCGCGAAACTTTCTAACTGCATGCGAATGAAACGATAAAAAGAATTTGCCGACTGCGAATAAATCGATGAAGTCTCGTAACGTAACTTTTCGCGTTAACATTAAGCGGAACGATCGAGAAAGTTGAAAAAGCACGGCCTAAATAAACAGACTAGAATACTATCTCAAAATGTTATGCAGGAATTATCAGATCTTTTAATTTTTTCAGTTAAAAACTTAATTTTTTTTATTTTTAAATCTTGCAATAAAAAACAATCATCATTAAAAAATAACATGTGCTCAATTATACTATCATTGAGAAAAAAAACAAACTGCTTGCTGTTATTGATTCAAAATAAACCGGCGATTCATATATGTATATATTCACAACACGCATTCTCTCGTTTTGCATGGGCGGTATCTGACTTCTTGTACTTGGTACAAATTAGAAGGTGAGGTCATTGAGAAATATGACACAAACATATCCGGATAATACAAAAAAGTGATAAATAATCGATAATGGATACAAGAATTTTATTCAGCACTTCTGCTGCATCTCAAACCAATAATTTATAAAATTTATGTAACAGCATGTGTGTGTGTGTGTGTGTGTGTGTGTGTGTGTGTGTGTGTGTGTGTGTGTGTGTGTGTGTGTGAAAAAACCTTTATAAACATCAAGAACATCTAGAATAGAATAGAATATTTATGAAAATAATATGAAAAAACATTCGACAAAACGATTAATGTCTAGCATACTGCTACTTTACTGCAATCAAGATTTAATATAAAAACACTGTAATTGGTGTGGCGTGTTATCTTCTTATACAGAATATTCTTTGAAAATTATTTTTCTTGAAAGAGAATCGATATATCAAAGTTGTAAAAAATTGTAAAAAACATCAATAATAATTACAAAAGTATTTATGACGTACAAATTAATGGATTTTTTCTACATTTTTTTCAAAATAAGTAAATATTATTCAAGAAATAATTGTTTACGTGCTATTTAATTAATTTGTATAAGTATAAGTAATATTAGCTTGAGCAAATATTTATCCGCTAAATATATTTTTTAATCTCTGATATTAAAAATAAATTGAAATTCAATTGAATTCGCACTGGAATATATTACGCAAATTACTTAAAATTACCACGAATATTACTAGTATTAATATTTAATATGCTAATTAACTGCATATTAGTAATAGAAATGGCTATCTAATAACCAGATATAATTATGAAATTAATACGCGGTTGAATTCGGTCGATGCACATTAACATATAACGGTTTCATTTTGCATTTACAACTTTAGTCGAAACATGGCGTTATGATTATCTTGTCGAATTACGATATCAATACGCATATCCAGAGACAGTGTAAATTCTGAGCATGTATAATGCGTAATATGAATATTTCAAATTCATTAGCAGATAAGCTCTTAATTTTCGTGGTTATAACTTTTCTATATTAAGATTATGATATATAAATGTATATAAACATTTTTTTTGTACTCACTCGTCATTTCCGCAACTCCGCAGATGTCCACGAAGTCCTTGAGAAACACTTTCGGCAGGAACCCGTTACGATCTAGTCACACGTCCAATTATACTGGTGACATCTACAACACGACTATACTTTCCCGTAAGTACTCCGAAAAACACGAACCGTCGCTCCGAAACACTCGCGGTACATTTTTTTTCTTCCGTATGCACTTGATTCCGGTCCGGCGACGTCTCGCGAAATGGCAGAAAATCGCTCAAAGTCGCGGGAAAGAGACTAGTCGAAATTTACATGTGTCACGTGACTCACATCCCGTCCGCTAATTGCTCATTGGATCTTTTCTCCCTGCGTTTGCTTCACATACTGCTCGCCTGACATACGCGGCGCTTGCTTCACGCCAACGCACCGCTTGCTTCACACTAAGCGCGCCGTTCACTTGATACTACTCGCAGATGAGTCGAAATCTACAGAAACTGTATCGAGGAGTCGTGTTAGGTAAGATACTCGCGTGATTCACAGCAATGCGGTTACACAATTGCGCTCCGAATCGTGAAAAAAATACACGAACGCTGCCCGACGCGAGAAAATTCGAAACAAATGAATGTATTGTCGTAATCTTTTAATCGTTGATTGAGATCGATTCACACGAACGTCTATCAAAAGTTTCGTACTGCTACGCTGTCTTTTGCAGTACTTAAAGCTCTTCTCTCGTATTATTCAATAACAAATCAAAGAAGTAAACATACTCACACACAGATTCCGTCGTGCCAAAGTTTTAGAAAGATTCTAGAGTTCTTCATTGCACAAGTGCTCTCTGATGTCGTCCGCCAAAATCAAGCGTGTCACGTGACTCTCGTTCACCAATCGCGATTGTCGTAATAGATTCGACAGATCCACAGTCGTGTGATGATCGCGTTCAAAAGTACAATTGCGGAAAGTATCGTCGCACAAGATGTTTTGATCACTGATTGGCAAATTCACGCGGATATGCACTCGTGGTCCACGATTCGCAGTACGCGCACACGCGGTTCGTGTGCGTCGACGCTCCGCGATGGAATAACGTGAGAACGATAACAGAGAGAACACCGACGCGAACGGTAACCTCAACGAGGTTAGCAAGAGAGAGAAATGAGGTATGTATCGCGGTAATACACCCACGCGACGCGGCACAGACAGGACTCTCCCGCCGCACGGTATAACACGACAATGACGTCGTCGGAAGACGGGAAGCGATGAGCGAGCGGCGACCAGTTCCTGCGGCCGCTCCTGCTCCTCTCTCCCACCCGTGCGTATACCCTACGGCCGTGCCACGCGGAGTTTACGTCAACCGTGTTTTGTAGGGAACCGTACGCCGTGGACTGACACCGAGATGATAACGAGAGACATCGAACACACGAGACATCAGACAACACAACCTCCGCAATCCGCGGAAGGACTGTCGTGCGAACGCGTTCACCCGCGCCCCACCATTCACGACGCGAAAAGCAGCCGTGAGCGCGGCGCCGATGGAGGGAGAGCGAAGGGCAGAGAATCTACGGCGGTCGAAGGAGAGAAGGAGAGAAAAGGACCGGAAGACCTTCCGACGGTAATGCGGGATCCGCGTGGGAAAAGGACAGAGAAATCGGAACGGCGCCATGGCCTCCAAAAGGGATGAGCGAGAGCGAGAGGGATGCTTCGCAGGACTGTGAGCAGCCGCAATGGCGCCCCCAAGGACATCGCCGCTTCGTCGGTAAGTACGTTCCTCTTTCATTATTGATTTGCGTGTCGTGGATGCTTTTCCTCGGCGCGCACTGATCTCACCGAGATGTTTAAATTGCATAATGATGATAGAACATATTCTATAATACATATTGCACTATCGCTAATTATACAATATCAGATTTTTTTAAAGAAATATGCATATATATTAGAAACATGTAATTTCAAATAACATTTTCCATGTGAACTTTATATAGGAAAAGTTAAATATCATCAAGTATTTTTCGGGTTTATTTATTGAAAAATATCAAGTTATAAAGTTCTAAATTTCTTTGTTCAAAACATATTTATTTTGTAATTTGATACACACAGAACTTTCCTTGCGATAATTTCTTTTTAGTTACTAACTAATTTAATTTTACATGTTGTGGTATAATTTATCGAATTTATTCAAAAACACCCGCTGTTAAGTCGGGCCTGGTCTTGGTTAGGTTAGTCTGTAAAAGTAGAGGGGTTTGTATCCAGAGACAAGGAAGGAGAACCGACCACCGAGTCGAACGACCGGTCGAGTTTGCGCACTGGACAAAAGTATAACCGGGCTACAAACTTTTTCCGTGTACTACGGACCAACTTATATGCATCCACGACTGCGGTAGGTCGGCCTTTAAAACCGCCGCGATTTGTCCTTGAGACAAAAGTCCAATCGACACTATATGGCATTGAAGCAGCCACGTTCTTTCTTTCGTGGCAAGCTACTCTGCACGCGATCGTCTTCAACGCCAATTTTAACAATTTCTGTTTATATATTGATCTTGCTAAAATTTGGAATTAATTTTCTGATCACTAGTAATAACCGAGATTGGAAAAATGAGATTGTGTAATAAATCTCATTCAAAAAATGTCAGAGTCTTGATTAATCGTTATCGTTGATTAATCTTTGCGTCGGAGGATCTAAGTAAAAAGAGCGGAGGTCCCTTGAATCCTGAAAATTTGTTTTAGGAAGAAGTTTCCTAATTTAGCTTTCTTGTGTCACAAAGTAATATACTATCTTAGACATTATAACATCTTTAGACTTCGCATAAGAAAAACTTTCTTATTTTGTTTAAGAACTTGTAACTTGTGCGCGAATCAAATTTTGAAAATTTTCTCATAATGCCGATCATAAATCAGAATTGTTAAATTCTGTTTAAATTTAAAAATGACAATAGAATATCTATGTACATTGGTTAGTAAAAATATAACAATTTTATATTTTCTTATGCAGAATGTATTTTCACATGTAAGTTTTTCCACATCTTAATCACGTTGCTACAAAACATTTTATTTTGATTTTTCTTATTCTTTCCGTATCTCGTTAAAATTCTGAACAAAGAAATAAGGACATTGTAGACGTTACATTTTTTATCTTGAGCTTAAAGATCCAGTCGACGTAAAAGGATTCCGCAGAATATGGTAATTCTGCTAACGGTATAAACTTAATCGCGGAGCGATAGTGGTTACAGCCAGTATTCCTTTGCATGTGCTCGAAGCGCACACTCACTCAATTATGAAATTGCATTATTCCAGAAAAGTGGAACGAGTAAACGGATTAAAGGAATGTAATGCACGTGTCGCCCGAGGCTGTTATCTAACTTTATGCGCAAACTTTACAAACACATTGATGCGTCTACTCGATCAAACACGCGCTACGTTTTTTCATTCATCTAATTACAAGACACAACACTTTTGTGCTCTTTCTTATAATTATTGCAATTTGCCGCGATTATCAATTGCGATTCGTAGCATTTCCACATAAAACTATACTATTATATTAAGTACCGTAACGCGAAAATAAATGAAATAAAGCGAAAATTTCCAGTTATGCATATAATATCTTATGATTTAATCTAACCAATGCAACCTTGAAAAGAAAAATTAATAATACAAGAAGAATTTATAAAAGCTTTTAATATTCCTGAAAAGTTTTTTTTTCTTTTGTAGTACACGAGTTCTCTTTTCAATTATTCAAGCACAACTTTTTATTTCTGTATATACAAATTATTTAATAAAAATGTTAATGAATAAGAATGATAATTCCGTAATATTAAAGTTTTAAATTAAATAACCACGGATTATTCGTGACCATTTAGGATGCAAGGCGGTAGCTCATCCGAGCGTCTATAGATCGTGCGTAACACTGTAATGCACCGGTGGCAGTTCATTTGGGTATTAGGCCATAGTAACGTGTATCCCCGGCTGCGAGACGTGAAACTTTGCCTATAGTTAATCGAATCAACCAATCCCGCAGCAGCTCGAGACGCCGAGCCATGCTTTAATTAGTGCCCAACCTCGACCGCTTAATTCACTCGCAGTTCGACCTTGAATGTCCCGCCGTCTTACCATTAACGTAGATACTCTGACTCCCGTTCTCGCGTTTCGACGATAAAATTTCCATTAAAAGGGAGATATCCATTTTTTTCTTCTTCGTCGAATTCCGCCGCTTTTGATTATGGAACGTGAAAAGTACGCGACGAACTTGGACGGCGATGTAAAAATTTATTCGCGCTCGCCGTACTTATTTCGCCCTTATCTGAACGTCGACACGGCGGGATAAGTGCCGACAAAAAGGAGGGATAAAAAAGAAATAAAAGAAAAGAAAGAGAAACGCGGGAGGAAACGACGACGAGAAAGCACGAAAGACGCAAAGTAAAGAAAGCGAGAGGGGTGGAAGAGAGGTGCACGAAGTTGGGGAAAGCTCGGCGAGCATTAAGACCAGATTGAAAATTGAATTATTAACGAGCGACCTGCCGCCCAGCATGTAAATCATACGGAAATATTACTTTTCTTTTCCGAGAGAAAAATGTGGCTCGAACGCGAGACGTCATCCGGATGTAGTTTTATTTATAAGTAATCTTCATGTTTTGTTTCTCCTTCAATTTTGAATTCTCCTATTGTTTATTTTTTTGCATCATCCTTTCATGTTACTTAAGCGTATCTAAGTACTTGTCTAATTTCGCTCACGAGTTATCATACCCGTGAGACCCACTTGCGCAAAATGTAGCGCACATTATGCGTACAGGGTGTTCACTTATTGCCATATTTAGCAACTATATCTCTCATCGGCAAATAAAATCTTGAATACCATCGCAAGAAAAATTTTAATAGAATTTCTAATTATTTTAAATAAATTTTGAGATTTTATTATTGAAAAATTTTGACAATTCAACCTGAAGTTGAGAAATTGATGGCATAAGACTGACTTAAAATTGATCAAAGAATGAAATATTTTGTCTACTTGCACTTCTGAAATCGAATTTATTAATACTTCTTGTATTTTAATTTTATTCAAACTCAGGCATTATTGCTCTTTGAAACATGATGATATTGTCATGAGTAATCTTACGAAATGAACACCCTATACACATGCATCAGAGTCTCAGCCCGCTGTTTTATTCACTCGCCTGGATAGCTAATATACCGCGTTTAATTGAATACCAAATATTCCTGCTCAAAACATTTTATTTTTAAAAAAGAACATTGTTGGATTTGATTGTAATTTTTTCTCACATCTTTCAAAAATTTTCATGAAATTTCTTGCGCATTATTGATGAAAAATCTCTCTCTCTCTCTCTCTTTCTCTCAGCAACACCTCTAAAAACCGCTTTCAATATTAATTGATGGGAGGGATATCTATCTATCTAGTATGCGTCTGTACTGCACAGACAAACGAGCAGAGGTGTTAGAAATTTGAAAGTTATTCAAATTTTTCCGCAGAACGCTTACCAATCTTATCAATTTTTATTTGCGCCGATTAATTTATTCTATGAATTGTAAGCTGATAATTAATATTTTATTATATAAAATCATTAAATATCAAACCATAGTAATAATTTATTGTTGTAACATGCTCTGTGAATGTGTTTTCTTATATACGCAATAACCGAATGATCAAATATAGTATTGTATATGTTCCAAGATTAAATATTAACGTTAATCTGCACTAGTCAATTTTAAGGTAATAGATTTGTGAAATATTGTAATATTATGATTTATAATATTCTTATGTTTTTAATTTGTAGAATATATAATCTTAATTCTTTTTGACTTTAGAAAATTTTGAAATATGCAAATATTATATATATTTAAATTGTATCAGCATTTAAAGTAATTTATATTTCAAAAATATTTATTGTGTATATGGAATTTTTTATTTATCTATCAAACAAATAGATGTTTAGTAAAAAAATGTAATTTTTCAAAAAATAAATTTTTTACATATATAAATGTTCATAAAACTTTGACAAAATAAAAATCTAATGCTTATATAAATATTCGAAATGATTATAAATTTTAAACACGTGGAAAATATTTAATGTTATAAATATTAAATATTATAAATATTTTAATGAATATTCCAAGCATTTTAAAGTAATATAAAATATTTTATATGCATTATATACAACGAGACGATCTCTCATGTGCTCTCGGCAGGAATAAATAATTAATAACGCAACAAATAATAAATTAATAATAAATTGCTCATCTCACGGTTGCTCTACCGTTGTCCAATGCTGGCCAGATCTTTTCTTTCCTCTTCTCAACTATCCATCGATAGCTGCTTCTTCATTCGTAACTAAACGGTTAATTATGCGTGACACTTTGCATAGCATTTCCGACTCGCCGACTCGCGGCGTTTGGTGGGGTGGTTTATTTTCTTCGCGTTATATCTGCGTACATCTATATTCTCTTTCTTTCTTTCTCTCTCTCTCTCTCTCTCTCTCTCTCTTCTTTCCCCTTCCTTCTTGTTGTTAAGGTTTAAGGTTTATTAGTTCGTACGTATATTATTGTTGTTCGTTTCGTTTCTATTAGTCTTACTTAGTTAGGTAGGGTAACGGGACGGTCGGTAACGGTAAACCGTAAACTAATACGTTAACTTATTAGTATAACTAGACAGAGAGAGAGAGAGAGAGAGAGAGAGAGAGAGAGAGAGAGAGAAAGAGATATATTGATAATTTCGTGACTGGCGGCGTTTGGTAGGGATTGTTTACGCGTCGCGCTACCGTCTGCATGCCTTTATATCCTCTCTCTCTCGCGCGCATTAGATTTGCATCGGCTCGTATGTGTTGTTGTTTCTCACTTTCGTATTCTTCCAATTCGCAGAATTTCACAGCGTGACCTTATAAACGTTGGTAAATTCTACTACTTTATATCACTCGCACGACAACACTTGGTCGCGTCGGATCGTTCCGCATCGACGCGTTATTTCCTTCATTTTTACTATTCCTATTAATTCCATACCACATCTTTACTATTTCCTTACCATAATTATCCTTTGAAATTACTACCGCGGCATTTGGTGGGCTTGCTTTCGCGTTCGCACTATTACTCGCGTGCTTTATATCTTGTATTATTTGTACGACAGCACCCGATCGCGTCGGTATATAATTATAATTACGCGTAATAATAATCGACTACTCCTACTAATTCCATTCCACATTTTTACTATTTTCTTATCATAATTATTCTTTAAAATTATCACCGCGGCGTTCGATACTTTTGTTTTGTCGCGCTGCTGCTTATATGCTTTGCCTCTCTGCCTCTTTTTCCTCTCTCTCCCTACTTTCTTTCCTCATCTCACCTCCTCTCTCTTACGTTAAACTTGTTTCGGCGCATATATTGTCGTTCCTCACTCTGTATTCTTTCAAATTTCGTGGCATGATCTTGTTCTTGCTAAACCCTATTACTCTTATCATGACGATACTCAATCACGTCGGATTGTTTCATGTAAAATGTCGCGTGATAATAATCCGGTTTTCGCGAGAAGTGTTTTCATACTAAACAGAGAAGGAGCGGGCATCGGATGCCAGAAGAGTATTTTTAAGATTTCTACATTTATTGATTATTTGATATTTTAGTAATATAATAATCGATTATCTTTTATATTTAATTGAAATATTTTCGAGTTTTTTATGTTTTTAATATTTATAATTATTTCAAATATTTATTAGGGTATTAGATTTTTGTCAGTAATATGATTATTTTATTAAATATTTTGCGAAATAATTTTAAAAATTTAATAAGTACAAAATTTTATAAAATATTGATTATTTTTAAGACACTACTAATCAGAATTTATTTTGTATTTTACAGGTCAATATCGCTTTTGTTCGTTGCGTACATCGCGCGATTTTCATATTTGCATTGCGAATATTAACTTTTTGATCAAATTTGCTGGCAACGTTGGGAGTGTCGTTTAAAGTGTCGTACGATTTTTATATTCGAGAACGCACGCGTGCAATGCGTGCATCGCGTGTGAGTACATTAAAAAACTGCTGCAAAAACGCATATGGAATTTGCGCGTTACGTTGCCTTCATTTTTCAGTTGAATTTATTGACGACGTCGAAAGTGCTGTTGAAAGTAAGATCGTGCGATTCTTGTATTCGGAAATGCACGCGTGCAATGCGTGCGTCGTGTGTCGCGAGTGAATTTCTTGAAGATCACTGATTGTGAGAGGAGGAGGAGGCTCAGGAGGAGCATCAGACGCCGGCGGAGCAACTTTAGGGTAAGGAATTATTTATTTATTATCTGTGATTCACAAAATGTTGCACATAAAATATCATGCAATGTAACGTACATAAAATATTTGAAAATTTTAGTAAAATATTTACAATATTTAATATTTATGATTATTAGATTTTTTCATATTTATTATTATTTCATACAATTACATTTTTGATAATTTTTTTATTTAGCTATTTGCTGATTTATCAAATTTCAGAATGATCAAAATTCTTATTTTTTATTGAGCTATTTTTTAAAATTAATTTTCTGATTATTTTTAACACTGCTATAATCTAAATATTTTTTTTGTATTTTACAGATCAACTTTGCAGAACAGAACAACTCCGCTGTTGCGCATCATATCGGTGAGTGAGTCTAATTTTATTTCAATATTATTATATTAAGTTAATAGATCCAAAAGTAATGTAAAAGGTACATATTCTCAATTACCACATTACAAACCGTAAAAGTTGTATTATTTTCTATTAATTGTGTCAAAGTTTTATTTTTTAAATTTTTTTAAAGTAGTTTAAATAATTTTCTTTTTTAATTTGTTTTAAAAATATTTATAAATTGTTTTGTATGTATTAATTCGTGGAATTTCAAATCTTTTATTATTTTATTTTGATGAATTTATTTTCTACCGCACGCATATATATTATATGTAACAACTCCGCGAAAAACCACTTTTCATGTTTCAAAAATAAAACACATAAATTTACATCTTTGGTGCGCAATTAAAAAATATAAATTAGAGAATATAAAAATATGTAATAAGAATATTATACGAGAAAAAATTTGTCTTTTTTCAAAATTTGAGATATTTTTAATTGATTTGAGAATCAAAAAAGTTTCTTTACTTTTTGTCTTGTCCTCGTAAACATAAATATAATAAAATATTGCACATTTTAGCATACAAAATAGATTATATAATATGATATTATAATAATAGACATATATAAGAGAGAGAGAGAGAGAATATTATAAATAAAAATAAAAATTGTATTATTTTATGGATCTATTATCTTAAAATTTTCTGAATACGTTGAAGTAATAAACACTAGGCGAGGGCGATAAATTAACACTTAATTTTACAATACATTCAAATTTGATTATTAGTGGTGCAAATTAACGAACATTTGCATATGTCCTTTCATAATGTTCATAGAGTTATTTTTACTAATTTATATTAACGTGCATAAAATTGTATAGTTTGTAGTATTATTTTACTGCAATAAAAATAAACACTGAAATATATTATTACGGCAAGAATGAAAATACCGTGAATATTTCATTCTTGTTTCCGTTTCTGCAGTACACGTTGTAATATGTCACAGTTAAAGCCCCGGTATTAATGATTACATACGAATTCAAAGGCAATTATACATGATTTGTTAGGTAACTATAATTTAAACGTGAAATTACTAATATTTTGTACACATATAAATGGTTTCGCAATCGATGGCCGATTAACGCGGAACGATTAACGTACGCGAGAATCATACTGTTAGCTCTATTTTTTTTGTCGTTTTAAATAAATTGATGAAGTGTTTGTATTCGATGCGATCACAAGCAACGTATGCGATCACGAACGAGTTGCAAAATTTTGACGGTGTACACGGCCTGCGGCGAAGAAAAAAATCAAAAAGTTACACTTTTTTACGCACGTCATATTTTTTCGATGACATTCGCTCAATCCGTTTCAATCAAAGTTGTTAGTTTTATTTACGCGCTTTCATTTACTACACTACGAGCATAAAACTCAGTTAGATCGCGTATTCAAAGATTATTAGTACTTTTTTTTCAACATGTATGTAACAATAGGATAGAAAACAAAGTGACAAATATAAATTTGCAGAATACAATACTTTGTTCCATATATCGTAAATAAAATTAAAAAAAACATATAAATAATAAAAGGCACAAAGATTAATTCTTTGTAGAGATGTAATATGTTTTATTACAGTGTCCATCACAAAAACGTTATTTTTTTCTTTTGCGAACAAGCAATTATTGAATATTTTATCACAAAGAAAACATTTTTTACGCTCATCAAAAAATACTTTAGTCAATCAAAATAAAGTTTAATCAAATTTAAATGTGTTTTTTAATGTAATAGAATTATATTTGATTGAGATATATAAACATAAAAAGTGAGATATAGAAGATATGAATTTTTTGAGACATTCTCGTCACGAGTCTTGCGTGAAATATAAATGGGATAGTATGTACAGACGGATAACAATAATTAATGAAACACATCGGAATTTCGTACTTACAAATATATTTGCGTCTTTTGATAAAGTACATAAATAATGAAAGAGTAATTATTTGCCTCGGAAACTGTCGTTCCGTCGAAAGCTGCCATATCGGCGGAAAAAGATCCTTTTTTTCAACGAACGAAACATTTTTCTCGTTATAGTAGTAGTTTCAAGTGACTATGTACGCGTAACTATAGAAATAACGATTGCACCTATGTAACAAAAATAGGCACATAAAATGTCATTGGCTCGTCCGTTCGCCGTCCGGGAATCGACATTTTCGCTTCCGGCAAATCGTGCGACTAACAAACACAGGTAAAAAATAGTCCGCTCTGTCTAATTGAACGAATAACGTAAAAACGATTTGTCGAGCGATATCGCGAAAGAGTATTATAACGTGTATAATCGTGTTATGTGTGACTACATTAATCGTGCGACAGGCGTACAACTCGTAGAAAGTGAAAATATGGCGCAAGTCAGTTTCGTAAAATTTAAATCGCCGTTAAGCAAAATACAAAAGTTAAAGTATCATCTCTTATGACTAGGCATATTCTTTTTTATAATATGTTTATTCGTTTATTTATTTTTACCAAATAGCAAATGTGTTCTAGCATGTATTGTATATAGTATAGCTAGCATGTATATAGTATAGCTTAAAAGAAGAAATATATACAGTAAAGTTCTAGATAATCGAGACATTTATAACAGTCGAATGTACACTATATTACAAAGAGAAAGTGGCATAACAGCTTATTCTAACTTAGTTTACGTTTCGTATCAATTGACGTTTGATCGCGATTGCAAAATGTTCTTGACAACCATTGTGTCGAGGTGCTTTCACGCATTGCGTAGGAGTTTCACCAGGCAGCCTACCTCTTTAATCAAATGAGCATATATTTAATTAAATATCCAAAATTAACAAAATTTCAGGCACATGAATTTGATTACACTCTGTCTAAATTTTATTAATTTAAGCTCACAATGCGGCAATCCGAAAAATAAGAGAAGAATCTGCAATATTCCAGAGACTTTTATTAATTTTTAGATTGCTGGTATTTCTCGTTAAACTACATTATCGAAAGCATCATCGATGGCAAATAATCGCGTTTCTAAAATTAACTAGCGTGACTTGTGATTGTACATGTACGAGAACTGCCATGTCGGCTTATATTGACAATGAAATAATGCACACGATTCGGTGGCGAAGATAATTGTTCATCTCGTGGAGGTTGCAAGCTCTTGAGCTTTGAGCTTTGCGCGATCCTGGCCATCCGAAATTGTCCATGCGTTCTAAGGCACTTATCCCACGTATCCTCCAAAAATTTCATCTGCTCACGTTGAGAAAGCATCGACCGAGTTTCAGCTTCTTACCGCATGTCACGTCAGCCGTGCCCACCTCGCCAAATTAGGATTGCTGAAAAATGAATGCGGGAATATCGGTTAATTCGACGTCACTACGGAATGCAGTCGTGACCGAGCCAAAAACCGCAAATCGAATCGCGGAAATATTTTACGCTCAGCGCCCCGGGAAAATGAGGATATTTGAGGGTTTGCTAATAATCGCAGGTTGACTGAATAACAGCTATTGATGCACGCTGTGTTGCGGTTAATAAATAGCAGTTTCCCGAATAATACCTGCCGAGAATAATCTACCGCTACTTTAATTAAAGTAAATGAAAAGAGGTGTTTTCTTCTTACTCGAAAGTTTCTAATTGGATCAGCATTTTAAAGTTAATTGTATCGTGGATAAAATTAGTTTTTTCAAGATCGGAGCATTTTATTGTGCGTTTTTAACGGCGAATACAGCAATTCTTTAGGAATAATTCTTTAACAGAGATAGATTCACGCGGATTAAAGAATTGTTATGAGCGAGAAAACGATAATATTTAAAATATTACATGTAATTAGATCATTTTCTCAAAATCAGAAAGTCTTTATGTATAAAATCTGAGAAATATTTCGTTGAATTAATATAATTGCAACATATAATATGTAATACAATAATTATAAATATTAGATATTAGAGACATATTCAACTATTAATATATTTCGCCGTCCATTAAATATTATATGGATTATCTGTCATTATCAATATTACGGCTGTCTTTGCGCGAATTGTTTTGCAGGAGTCTGTTTTCATGGTTGTCAGTTATTGCACATGAAAAATGTTTTTCAACTTAGATTAAGTGCTTGAACTGTTTATTTTCGACTATTAAAATATTTTTACGACCTCAACTAGGTCATATTCTTTAAACTATTATATATCTTGTCCATCAAATTATATGGATCATCGGTCATTATCAATATTACGGCTGTCTTTGCGCAAATTGTTTTTCGGAAATCTATTTTCACGCTTGTCAGTTATTGCACATGAAAAATACTTTTCAACATAGATTAAGTGCTTGAACTGTTTATTTTCGACTATTAAAGTATTTTTACAACCTGAACTAGAGCGTATTTGTTCGAAAAGCCTCCAAGTGGTTATAATAGCACAAGGATAAAATCGCAGTTCTCGATCACGGCATAAAATAAGAAGGCACGTAGAAATAAAATACAATATCGGGTCGGGACGTACGACTCTTTCCTTATCCACTTTGGAGTTCGCATCGACGATCGGGTAAACCGACGACGTTAAATCCAACTCTCCGGTAACGTCCCGTAAAACCAGTTTTATTGAACTTCCTTGCTCACCTAGCGATTTATCGTCGACCTTTACGGCCGGCCCTTACAAGATAATCCGCGTCATGCGAAAAGCCTTGATGTATGGCAGGCATGGCGTTTACATGATAAAGCCACGTGAGTCTCGTACCACCCGTATTTTAAAGGATCGTTTAAAGTCGCACGAAAACGGCCGTTAATTTCGCCGAAACGTCGTTAACGAAAATTATTGCTGAAACGGGACATGGTTCTTCTTACGCGCAGAATCCGGACTCGTATCTTATCGCTTGGTACTGAAATATTTAAACGTTTCGAACCTCGATTCATTTTCGTTAGTATAATTTCGGATGCTGTAAGTAGTAAATTATTAATTAATTTGCTTATCATCTTTCTCTTGTGACGAAACGAAGATAAACGTGGAGGATTATACTGAACGTCATTACAATGTCAAAAAATAATCAAAGATAAACAATTCGGATATTTTATCTATGTAAAAAAGCAATTTGGTTTCCAATAGCTAGCCACTGTAAAAGCAGACTCTCGCAAAACAATGTGCGTAATAAAACTGTAACATTGATAACAATAAATAATTTATGCAATTCGATGTACAAGACGAAATGTTAATGAGTTAAATATTTCTCTGTAATATTTAAAATATTTATAATTATTGTGTTATATGATATATCTTAAAATTATATTAAAGCAACTAGATGCTTCTTAGATATATATATATAAAAATTTTCTAATCTCTGGAAAATTAATTCCACATAACATTTTGAATGTTATCGTTTCTGCGTACTTATTCAGTTCACTAGACGGTTCAACTCTACGAAAATCGCAAAAAATAAAGAGAATCGATGAGAATCGCGTGTTCCTTATTAATTACTAATTCGCCTCACCTCAGTTTTGTGGAGTTCCACGCTGTTGAGCGCGACCGCTTCGGGAGCGCTTTCTTCCTCGTCAACCTTATCGGAAACACCGAAAACAATTTTGTACAGGAAAGAGGAGACTAGGGCGCCGCCGATCGGACCGAACCAGTAGATCCAATGATGCGTCCATTGATTGTTCCACAATGCTGGTGCGAACGATCTCGCGGGATTCATGCTGCAACCGGTGTAGGGCCCGAATGTCAGCGCCAGCACGGCCACCGTAAAACCGAATCTGATTGGTACCGAGTCGGCATTCTTTTCATTCCTCGCGTCCCACACGGCGCACACCACGAATATTAAAATAGAGGTCGCGATGCCTTCGACGATCAAGCCCTGGATCGCGGAGAGATCGGCGTGTAGATCGGTCACGCAGAACAAATGGCTCTGGTCGGCTGTACTGGCTGTTAAATGATCTTCCGGCGTTACCACCTATAAGAAATATTGTTGATTCTAATGAAAAAAGAGATGAAAGTAGCCTATATTGATGATTAAATTAGATGAGACAATAGTAGAACACATTTTTTTAACAAAATTGAATTATAATATTTTGTGTGTATGTGACCCGTTTACTTTTTTTAACTTATTTATTACGAAGTTAAATAATGAATTTTATTGCAGATAAAGCAAGATTGGATTTTATATTGTAAATAAAATTGTAAATAAAAATGAAAAGAGTAATTGTTATGAAAATGGTAAATCTTGTTTTTAATTTATACGTTACCATATTGGAAAATAAAGCAACTCCTGTTATTGTAAAAGCAAATATTTCGAGAAAAACTTTAAATATTGCTGGTATTTATTTATATTGATTGACATTTATCTATATTTATATTTGTTATTATTTGCTTGTACTTTATAGTTTTACATTCTAAAAATATAAAATTTTGTAAAATTATACTTTACTACAATCATTACAACAACGATAATAAAAAATATTTACGCTATTATTTTAAATTACTTTTTTGTTCTTGTTTTTTATCGAAATTTGCTTTATTTTCATTTATACAATACTTAAAATAAATATCAAGTTTGTTCCATATTTTCCGCGATCAATAAACTCTGAGAAATGCATTTTTAAATTGAATAGGGAAAAAGGATAATTATGTTTCTCATTATGCTTGCTTTATCTGGGTTACTACGATAACGCTCTGCAGACAGATACCGTATAATAAAACTTTCTTTTGACTAAGCGAAAGCATTAATTATTAATCGGATAACACGTGTACTGAATTACTGATTAAGCAAAAGTTAATATGCGTTCAGAAAAAAAATATGCATGAGTACAACATTGATTTTTATGAAAATATTTCATGAACGATCTTGTAATTATTACGGGCATATTTAAAATATCAGGTTTTAAAGCTTTTTACTCTCCACGAGAGATTACAGTGATGTAATACAATGAAAGGGATATAAATATATTAGTAACATGAATTAAAATAAAAATGTAGATACTATTATATTATGATAACTTAAAACGTAAATAGTATATCATGTTACAAATTTAATTCTAATATAGAATTTTTTAATAATTATTATTCATAATTTTTGAAATTAAAGATTGGCGAAATAATGTCATAAATGCATTACTCCATTAACAAACTTATCGTATGAAATTTTCATTAATTGCGAAATGTAGATAGACCACGTTTTTCGCGTTCAACGAACTCCAAGAAATGCATTTTTTAATTACAGAAAAAGAAGGCAATTATGTTTCTCATTTTTCTCGTTTTATCTAAGCCGCGACGACGATGCTCTGCAGACAGATATCGTGGTAGTAAAGCTTTCTTCTGATTACATGAAAGCATTTATTATTAATCGTATAATACGTGTACTGAATTACTGATTAAGCAGAGGTCTTGACCCGTGTCTTGCTAAACATTGATATAAACCAGCCGGGAAATTTTCCAATTTATTTTTATCTCACTGTAACCCCAAACGCGTCCACATGTCTCGCTTATTGATAAATTTCCATTAAGGTATTACTGATAAAAGTATTATTTAAACGTTTAACAAAATCTACATTCTATCTTTATTCATTCCGTAATATTTGACTTGAATTGACAACGACGCATATGTTGAAAGTTGCCATGTGTGTCAATACGAACAAAATTTTCGTTTTTTTTTTTTATGTAAATATTTATATATTTGAACACGACTTCGATCGCAGTTATATGGCTTAAAACATCATTTTTTTAGAAATCGACTTGATAAAGAATTAAGGAATTTTATATTAAATAACGAATAATAACTGGAAAAATGCAAAGAAATGAAAGAAATTCTTAAATTTGTTTTATGTATCATCAACAATCGTAAATTTTTACAATACTATTGATTTTAGCGTATAAAACTTTTATTTTTTTAAAAGAAATATTTCATATATATACTTTTGAAACTATATATGTAACTAACCGACTCGAAATATTTGTTTGCATGCAATTAAGTTTTTTTTCAATAATTATTCAGTAATAATTAGATTTTTTTTATACCGACCTTTAGCATACCGTAGCCAATAATAGCGCCTATTATTTGCGATACCAAATAAATTAAAGCTTCGGGAATAGTCTTTTTCCCAAGAATGACGGATGCCACGGTGACTGCAGGATTAATGTGAGCCTGGCTGATGTGGCCTATGCACTGAAAATATAAAATTAGAGGAAACTTTTTAATTTACCGATACGCTAACGTTTTAATAACAAGCGTGTCGTAACAAACTTCGAATTACTGTGACGCAGGTGCAAATTACAGGGTGAATAAAAGCTAACGAAATGCGCGCCGCGCGTTAGAAAAATTTGAGCATTCACTAACGAACCACGTCACGATTTTGTCACGTTTCGTCGTATTTCTGTTTGCGAGTGCGAGCGAAAGGCGGCGTATAAATGCGATATACAGCGCGATGAACGTGCCTTTAGCCTTTATAATGTTGCAACTCGCGAATACGTAATTATAAAAGTAATTAACATATTTATAAGTATAACATTGATTTTTTTTAAATTGTTGACTGTTTTGCAATTGTTTTTGTTAGACATATTTGCAATATCAAGCTTGAAGTTTTTCACTCTCCACACGAGAGATATCAATGATTTAATATGATATAGAATGGATTTTATTTATAATGCCACGAGTTATAATAATATTATAAAATAAATGTACTATTATATTATAATAACCCAGAATATAAGAGAGAGATAAATTAAAATTTAACTGCGGTATTGTATAAAATTTTGTTACGATAATAATTCATAAAACTAAAGATTATGGGAAAATGCGACAAAAGTATTACTCCATTAACAAATTTATTATTTACGAAACATAGATATCGCTATCGATTGCTGCATTACTTTCACGTTTGGTATAAAATCATGATATTTTTGACTTTGAAATTTCGGCAAAGATAAGATAATAACGACGAATGATTAGCCGAACAAGAGTTTCCGATTATCCACTGACCTGGATGACAACCATAACCGCTAAGCCGAAGGTTAGCGCTATTTGCAGATGAGGAGGTACAACGCCGAGGCTTCCCACGCAACCCATGCATCCTAGAAATACCAGCATGGATAGACCAATCAGCTCCGCCAATCCGGCTAAGAGAGTGCTTTTCACGGTGCCTTCTCCTTGCACCCATTTTTTTAATCCTGAAAAACATTTCGTCATTCAAAAGACATCACTTTTTTCAAGTTAATCACAAAATGGAACATAACAATCCAAATAACATCAAAATTTTACTCGAAACATTTAACACGTATTAATTAGAAAAATTTAGTTTTCATACTTTTTTCATTGCTGAGCACTGTTTTCGAGAAATTATTTTCTTTTAAATTACACATTTCACAAAATCCTTATTTAAAAGGTAATGCAGAGTAACATATGTTTGCATTTATTCTCTTCTATCACTGTATAGACTTTTTAGAAGAAGAACACTTCTCAAAACAAACCCCTTGATTTCTCTTGCTAGACAGTTATCATTACTGTAACTATAGAATGTGGCCGCGTGATAAAGTCAACGGTAACGCGATTCTCAACGCGATTGTGTCACTTGCCTCTCGTCTTACGGCGATTCCGCCACATTTTCCATACTGTACTGACGCGTCAACAAACGTGCACAGTCCACGACTGCCAACCCACGGAATAACTTTCATGAAAGGCAGATACCGCATCGTATCGCCAACTCAAACAAGGTCGGTATACGTACCGGACTCCAACACACGTGTTGCTAATACATTGACTATCAATCAAAGAGAACCAGTAAAGTTCAGTTTATAGTTATACAAACGTCACCAGGAACTGGGCGGAAGTGAGATAATTAAATCTCTTGATTATGTCGAGTTGCATGGCATTGTATAGATTAACATTAAATATCGCTGCGCGAGAAATTTGCTTTGACTGCAAACTTAAAAATAATGTGTGTCCAGAAAATATATCTTTCTTAGAATAAAAAAAAATAAAATGTTTCTTTTAGAAGACAACAAATGCAAAAAATCAAACTCATACTTTAGAATATATACACGTATTTTCCACGGTTTAAAAAATTAGGAGTCAGTAATTTGCAGGACCTATTTTGAAGTTATAAAAGACCTATATTATTCTTACATTAATTTCTTTAATCATCCTATTAAGATTTTATTTTATTTTATTAATTCAGTCTTGAGAAACGCGCTTATAAAAGTCCGTTGTAGAATTTCAAAACTCTTCGGAAGAAAACGTTCGCCAGATGATAGCGCATAAAAGACATTAATGAGAATGTTAAATGATCTTTTTTTCTATTTTCTTTTCGGTGATCAAACAATGGAATCTCTTATCGCAGGGTACATATGTAGTGTGATAAAATGCGCGGGTGCGTTTTACGTCGTATCGTTGTAATTTAAGATTAACTCCGTCATAATGATATATATTGTAATATATGGCTACATGTATCGCACGTAACGTTCTCGCGACTTAATCTTATAATAAACATACGATGTGCTTTTTTCGTACTATCGCACGCGCGTTACGATAAATTACTATAACCATTTCAGCACATGGTATTAAGTATAACTCAAAAATTCTTAAAAATATCGTTCTCGTATTTGGTTTGCACGTAAAACAGTTACGTTTACACATTTTCTCTGACCCGTATTCATCCGAGAATAAACTTTCCGACAAGACTGTCCGCGCGCATCGGTGAAAGTTATACAGTTACCGACAGCGATGTCTATCTATGTTTCGCGATTAACGGAAATTTCATAAGCGACAAATTTGTTAGCGAATTGATACGTTTAACTCTCAATGGAGATGATGAACGAGCCGCAGAAATTCGTATTGACGTTAATCAAATTACAAAACTTATTGCAATTTGCGACGCTATTTGTTATATTGACAGACATTGAATGAAAGCATTGGATGGAGGTTCCTAATGCAAAAATAATATGGTTTAACGAGAAATGTTAAATGCAAAATAAATGTTATTTTTGCGCAAAGGCGTTTCTATCTCTTTATTAAAGGATCGAACATTGTAACGAATGCATTGATTTGAGAATAGGATATATTTAAGATTCAAGCAAAAACGAACGCATATTACTTGCATGATTGCAAAACGTATTTATCTTGGCTGCAGCAGAATCTTTTATGACTTATTCTTTGCATCAGCAGATGTATCTATTTTTATTTGCTGCCATAAAAAATGTATGTCAAAGTCATTTCTTTCTTTACGTCTTCTATATTCATTCAATGCAGCAAATAAAAGAATAATAATTTTTGTAAAACTTCTTTTATATTTAGCTGATAGATTTTTAGGACATTAAATTTTTAAAACATTATAACTATGATCTCTGATCGACATCTTAATGCACTAAAGAAAAATGTTGATTTTTGTTTTTTACTTATGAAAATACAAATTATGCATTGTACATGATTAAACTCGATCATAAACAATAATTTTGTATTTATAATATATATTCAAAATTATTGTTCGTTATTCACACGAGTATATTATGCACAACGGTCATGAAATGGGTCAGTAATGAAATATTTGTTTTATCGCAGATATCAGAAAAAACAGTAAAGCTTTCGCAGTTGACAATTCCGTTTTCAGAACTTGTCAATAATGCTTATCCAGCGATAGTGTACGGATATTGCGTGATAAGTGCAAACAAATATATTTTTAGAAAGAGAGACAGCTTATGAATATAGAATTAGACATTTACCCATATTTTAGATAAAAACTTTTATCTACAATAAGATACATTTGGTACACTTAATTGTCGTACAACTTTATTTGACAACTATTTATTTACGAGTTGATTATGCATGTCTAATAATCTTCGACCATTATATATTTCCATAATGTTTTTTTCCATAAAAAGGCAAAAACATAATTGTATTTCTATTCTACATTTAATTTATCACCGATAGATTTGATACGCTATTTTTTGCGTAAAGGCAAAAAATATAGGAAATGTTGAAGAAATAAGTTCAAAAGTTTATAGCTCTTAATTCGTTATTTGCATCGAAACAAACGAACTGCAATTTGCTAGTAATTTTATTTCAAGTGCAAACTTATATTAAACACACTTTAAATAAACGGTCAATTTCTGCAAACGACTGATACGATCAAATTATTTTTATAATTGCAAATAATATTGCAATTAAATGTGTATTAAACGTCGTTGCGTCGCGACTGGCGTGAGTCATTAAAATTACACGATAATAAATCAAATCCCTGCTTCGTGTCGATCGTTAACATTGGCAGCGCGAAACTTGCTCAAGGAAGACGGATGCATCGACGGGGATGCGCAAGAAGAAGCGGCAACTTCTTCGGCCGCGAGACATTGTCGTGTCTCTAATCATCACTTAACGAACGATCGCTCGTCCATGCTAACGAAGCTTTAATCTACGATCTGCATACAATCGGCTAATTTTGCGGGAACGCTGCCAAGAGATTACGCGGCAATTAGTCGGCATAATCTGCCTATTAGACCGATAAACGCGCGTTATATATACGCGCGTGCGTTAAGTTAAACGTTAGCCAGCTCAAATTGACTAATGATCCGTGGTATCGCGTATATACATACGTACGGATGATAAGCCGACACAATTTCTTTGTCTGTTTCAAGAATTAATTTTCATTCATTTATTGATCTCCATTTAATGAACCAAATTATCTGGCACTCGAATTTGTTCTTCGATTTTTGACGGATTTGCATACAGAACGGTGCTCAAGGAGACACATTTGTTCGCTCGCCTTCAAAAGCAATACGGTGACGCAAAAGATTGCATGACTCTGACTAATGCAAGATTAACATTATAATTTTATTTGCGATGCTCTCAGAAAAATTTATATTTTTCAAAATTGTGAAACTTATATTTATGTTTTTTTAAAATATGAATTTATCTTGAATATAATCTGTAGTAAGCTGCAATCCACTTGAAGCATTTATAGCGTCAAGTGGACCGCAGCCGTAATTAGTCAATGATATCTTACTAGCAGTTTTTAGCGGATAATAATAAATGTTTGCGCACAACTTGCGCTTTTTATGAATTGACGTCACCGTTTTACGACGACACGGATTGAATTGTAAAGTTGGCGATTAATTATATTGTAAAATTGCGTGATAACGATATATATATTCATGAGATCTATGCTGAAGTATCGCAGCAAGAATGCAAAAGTTATCTTTTAACCTCTAGCGATAAGTGAATTTTTTTGTTAAAAAAAATATAAAATAGTTCTGAAGGATCTTTTCTAACTAGCACGCGCTATATATTACGTAATCGAACCGTTGATGATGTATAGGTTGTAACGAAAGCGCGATAAAAATATTAAATATAAAATTTATTACATGTGAATGGAAATATTTACATGTCGTAATTTGTGTCGCAAATTTCGACGATATATGTGGCATCATTCACTTCACACAATCTTGTTTTAACGACTTAATCTTTATTTTCTCAAGTGGAATAATTCATATAGGACAAGTAATTTCAGCTCGCAAAATTAATATTGACGCAATTCTTATTTTATTTGCATCACAGTATTGGCAATCGAAATCCAAATTATATAACGACCGCATTTTGAAAGAATTTTTTTTAAGATGCTTTTTCAAGTATGCACGCTCGTTAATTATCAATCATTTACTTAGTAGAATTAAGATAACCGCAGCTATTCTGTAACTTATACACGACATTGACTTGGTTTGTTTCCATACTAAAATGATAAAGTCCGAACCGATATCGGTGAGTCGAAAGTCTAATTGTATGTCGACCGTTGAATAAATATGCTCGCTAAACGATCTTTCGTCGTTGAAATATGTTTAACAAATATGCCAAGTCTTTGTAAATAGAAACGATGTTGGTGGAATTTTACGTAGATCCGTCCATGCGTAATCAAAGTACAGCTGATAAGACATTTTTCTCATATCAGATCACCATATCGTACGATATGGCTTAATAATACGATTTCGATTTTATCTAAATTGTATTAGTGTTGACAAAATTTTGTAAGCATTTTAATAGATAAGAAGTGATTATCACATTACATTGATGAAACAATCAATATTAGTATAGTAATAAGAAAATATAATTTAATAAAATATATTCTTAATGAATATATTTTTTATATTTTACTAGATATATTAGAAATATTTTATATATCTTGTGTTAATAAAATAAATTTTATATTGTAATAAAAAAATACATTTCGCGTTGATATAATAAAATAATCAGTAATATCGTTTTGCAACTTAGACAAACTTGATATTTATTTATTAATCTGCTGCGATAAGATTTTGATGTTAACATTGATTGCAACAGAAATCCGACAGATCAATATTAGCAAATGGGCGCGGTGAGTCTGAATTGGAAAAAATTCCATTGTTTAACTTGTTGTTTTTTATCATCAAGTGAACTATACTAGTCACTATACTATTAAGTGAACTCTACTAGTCACTATACTATTAAGTGAACACTATACTATTTCGTTACTTCATTTCCGCCATGAATGTTCCATCTAATAAAACGCACAAGCGAAAGATTTTGTATTGCAGCACAGTAGTCAAGAAAAGTGCATCTGACGCGTAAGCATTTTCTGGTTTATATCAATGAAACAATCTCTCACAGCTCGTCGATAAAAATAGTATTCCAATCTAAATGGATGAAAAGAAAATCCTTGAAGTTATACATCAAGATTTCCAAGTAAAATATTCGTAGATTTGACGTATAGAAATATCAGAAGAATAGAATTGCTGCAGTATTTCTCACGAAAAATCTTAATGAATCTTCTTCATTGCGACGTCAGTACACAGAAATGAAGATTTGATACACCATTAGATGCAATTTTATATAATTTAATATTAAATAAGAGCAAACTAAAATTGAATGACACGAACGATTAGTTATAGAAAAAATTTAAAATAAAAGCTCGCAATTTTTGGACGAATAATCATAAATCCATAAAAATACAAATTTTAAATAGCAATTTGAATAGCCATATTTGAATTAAAAATAATCCTTATGCATAATTCTGATATTATTCGAAACCATTCAGCACCCGTCATACAATCAGTCAGTGTGTCATATGATTATGCGGCAGAGAATTGTCATAATCAACACGTCTCTGTGCAATAAACACAATTATTATATTATATTATCATAAATCATGTTATAACGAATTATTCCTAATATGCCGCATACGCGCACGATGTTAAATAGATGTCAATTAGAGCCGATAACAACAAAATTGTTCGTAACAATATATTCAATCTACCTCTAATTATTTTAATCATGCATGAATTTAAAAATTTTTGAAATATTTATATTAGACGCGAAAGAGAGGCTAGCAGAAATATCCAATAAAATTATTAATGACTTATTAAATTATTATGAAGCTTATGAAATCTATAATGCAGAAGGAAAACAGAATTGGTAAATTATCTCGACTAATAAGCCGCTAAATAAAAACATATGCATTTTTTAATAGTAAAAGAACATTATTGATGACTGTGCTTTTAAGAATGTACTTTGATCATTGGACGACTTTGTAGAAAATAAAACGATAATGAGCATAATACACAGTCATAATACGTAGAATAAATCGCAAAGAATTCCACCATAGAATTTTTCATTATCTTTTTAATTTTGTTTTCTACCTTTGCGTTCTTTTAATAAATTCTATTTTCTACCTTGTTTGCTTTTTATAAATTTTATATGTATAAAATAGATATAGTTTTTATTAATGCGATACTTTTACTAAAATAATTGAATTATATTTTATCTTGAATTATGTTATATCTAATTGAAAAATTCAATGCCTATGAGTTAAGGTCAACGGTCCGATATTATAGAATAATATATATAATAACTTACTCGGGAATGACAATGCTGCTATTATTTTGATATAATCACGAAATACAAAACGAAATATTATATCACATAGAAGCAAGTTTCATTTCACGCAATCTGATCCTGAATCTACATTAACGTACAAATAACCTTATTGAATTTTTATTTTATTATATTTAATTCACTAAACTATATCGCTCATTTGATTGTAATAAATAATGTTCTTTTTCGTGTCTATAGTCTGCATTATTCTCGTATTTAATGTTGAATGTGACAGATTTAAAATAACAGTAAAACTAGGTAAAAACATATATAAAACTTGTGTGAAATTTTATAACATATTCAATTATTCAGACCTAAATTGGCTGATATATGGTGACATAGTTTTTTCCCGATACATATACGCATATGAATAATTAATAGCGTTTCCGAGAGATATTATGCTCTAATATTCTAGATTTAAAATTAATAAATTTTATTAAGCTTATATTATATTGAATAATAGATGCGCTTTTTGGATGTAACGTGTTACTTTTGAAATCTAATAGTATTGTGTTCTTGATACAATCAAAGAGCATTACACGGTATCTTCAATTGTCGCGCAATCTTCAATCATGCTTCAATTACGGTAAAATTACTCCAATTTTAGTTTCGGATTTACTGTACCACTAACCGCGTTTTCTGATCATCATTACAAATACAGGCAAATGTTTCTAATGAGAGCTTCTCACCTGCTCGAAAATCGTTCGCCGGCATGACGGAGCGTTTCGCGCTACCCGAAAGTCACAACACTGCAACAAACACAAACGTTCCGAATAATGGGCGTTTTTGACTGTCCTAATGGCGGAGAGAAGGACGGAGAGACACCCGTACGCTCCGTCAGCCGGCCTCTTTGTGAAATGATCGTTAACTCCACTCTATCTCGCGGTCAGGACAACGTAGCCTCTTTGCGCGCGATGTAACGCCACGACTGTACACGCGCACCTCCCTACTTAGGCCGCTACTCGCTTACTCGCTTGTAAATTCAAGCGGGGATGCTAATTTCAGAAAAGAGGCTCGCGCGCGAAGAATACCGACACGTCGTCGCTGTATCGGTTTGTGTTTGTGTCTGCAGACGAATCTGTTGTTTCAAAGCCTTTAATAACATTGTTCCGTGGCGCACATTTTGAGGCAGATTTGATAATCGCCCATTACTGCGATGGGAACTGAGGTGTTTCTTATTTTACAAACAATGCTAGGAAGTAATTTTGTATGCAATTAAATTTTCAATCTTTGTCATTATCTATTGCAGCCACAATGGGAAAATCTGACATAAAAATTCGTTGGGTTGCTTAACGAACTGGAAAGCAATAGCTAGAATGTTTAGAATCGTAAGATATAATATGAATTATAATGAACGTATTTGTGAGAACACAATTTTTTTTCTATACATTTTTTATGTTTTTATCTCTTTTTATTTCAATTTTTCTACTCTTTTACGCATATTTTTAGATTAAAATTGTTTTTTTCTGTAATATGTAATTCCACAATATCAGCTTCAAAGGGTATTAATTTTGAAATGGAATATTTATAGATACGTATCTCTTGTGACAATGCGCAAACATACGTTTCGTTTTCGTAATCAGTGTTAGTTTCACATCCTTTTATCGTAACACGTGCCTCCAAGCCATCTTGGTTTTCAAGCTTTAATTGTATATAATTGTCATATTTTTTCTATAAAACTATTTTTAGTTAAATCTTGAATTTACTTATTTCTAATATGCCGATATATTTGTGTTCTTGGAGAAGAAACTACATATTATTAATTAAATGCAAATAATAAATTTTTAACAAACTTTGACATAACAATATACGAAAATACGAATACATACATTACGCATATATGATCTTATATAACATAAACTTAGGAATATTGGTAGTAAAATTATACTATTAAATTGCATATTCACATATTTATTTTAAGCTGTTTACATCACAAGTGCTTGCAAGCTATACAGATTTCAAGCTCAATCTTTAAAAAATCAATTTTCTTAAATGTTATATTACTTTATTAAATATTTGCGAGCAAAGGTGCGTATTAGAGAAAAGATCACGATCCTTTAAAAATATTGTATGAAATTTATTTGAAATCGCATTCCATTATAATCTAAATACTTACCTGTACAGCCGTGTAATCCGAAATACGATCTTATCTCTCCGCGATCGTTTGCGCGCATACAAAGCTTGTGAATTTTAGGATCGAAATCTACCGCGCGATTTTACACTCAAGGCTTTTAAAGTTATTGTTATCTACGCAAGAGGAAGAGGAGGGAGGAAGCGAGGGGGTCCGAGCGTGTATCTTATATTTACATATACATTAAGCCGCGAGAACGTAATTGCAATTGCACACACACACACACACGCACACACTTGCACACACACGCACACACTTGCACACACACGCACGCACGCACGCACGCACGCACACACACACACACATACGCACGCGTACGCACAGAGAACACACATTCAGACTCATACACGTATATAGACATGCACCGAGTACAATTAAAACTTTGGCGCGACCGACGGCGATGGAGGTAATTTCCTGAATTCGCCGAGACTAATTCCGTTATTTCGAATTTCGTCGCGGCAGGGATAAGAGGGTGGGGCGGCCGTGTTATGCGGCCGCTTGCGCGAGAGCAGCCACCTCAACGTCGGCTTTAACGAGCTGCATCGCGTACATGTGCGATATAATGGGGGTGGAATTTAGTAGAATTGCGAACGAGCGAACCGAGTCTGTAACCCATAAATTCGCTAATAATTAATAAAAAGCGCGGCAATGCAGCTGCACCGCCGGCCCTGCCGCGCGTAATGCATGCGAGAGAGAAAGAGAGAGATTTCTTTTTCACGTGCGTTTTACGTTACAAACGAAAAAAAGAAAGAAAGACGAAAGAAAAAACAGGAAAGAGAAACGAGGGTGCAAGAGAGTTAATACTTGAAATTATACTGCTAGACAAATGCTGCTGGGCAAAATGAAACTACGCGCCGTTCCGGCGCTTCGCTTCACGTTACAACGGCGTATAGCGAATTTCTTTGAAAGTGCTGGCGATATAAAAATCGTGTAGTAAGAATATAAATAGGATATAAGTCACGGCCGGGCAGTATTCCAAATATATATATTATTCACGCATTAAACATTTGGAATACACAATACTTCAATATACGAAATGTCAACAATTTTTATTTATTCGCGTTTATTATTTATGTATTTGGTCGTTTTAACGATATTCATAACAATATTCTGCATTCTAATTTTGAAGAGATAAAACCAATTTATGATTTACATTTTGCATTTTGTGTTTAAAATGTATATATACGGTATATTGCCCAACCGTGATAGCGGATGCAGCGAATAAAAAATAATTGTGACAACAAACGCGCTCGGAGTTTGCGTTTACCGCATAGAAGCAAATAATACAACGCCTTATTTAACGCTACAACGCATTTTTGTACAAAAAATAATCCGTCAGATCAGTTTACAAGCAAGAAATCCTCGTCGCGTGGCAGCCACGATCTTTCGGGTTACGGGATCTTCGAATGAGACGTTTCCGAGCACCTTGGAAGTAGAAATCCGTAAAGTTCGATGCCTGTCCGATCTGCTACCGTCGCTTCGCACGGGTAGCTTCCGCTGGAACTTTTACAATGTCCTCTTTTTTGGCCGAGAAAAATACCGGCGCGATCAGGATTTCTCGTTCAATTTGTGAACCGACAACCGGAATGCAATTTCCCTCGCTGAAAGAGAAAACGCACAATGTAAGCTCGACATCATTCGGTAAGAGTGACGTATGTAGTCGCTCGAAAATATCCGGAAGGTATTTGAGAGGTCAAATGAACAAAAAATAGATAGATCGAAAAAATGAATTGGAAATCCGCCAAGTTCATAACATTCGCAGAACGTCGATGAAATTTTTGACGAAAAAAAATCGCTCACACGAACAAACTATTTCTTTAAGTGACAATTTCTATTTTTTTTCGATTAGAGATGACTATTGACTCGTGTTGTAAAAAAATATTTGACATTTTTAAACAATATTTAACGTAACTAAAATTTAATAAAGCACATTATTTAACGAAATTATATGGCATTAAATACTTTATTAAAAGTGTTCATTTCTAGTTAAAATTTAATTTTAATTTAATCAAAGTAGCATAACGAAAATAATATTTATTAAGTTTAGAAACGTACGTACGATTCTGTTTACGTCTCGATGCCATTCAGAGTTCCCGTGTTTATGTTGTCTTCCTCATCTTTCGTATCAGGCGAAAATAAACATCGATACATCAAGGCTGCAATTATAGCGCCTCCGATCGGTCCCAGCCAGTATATCCAATGGTTATGCCAATAGTTGTTCCACATTGCCGGTCCGATTGTCCTGGCAGGATTCAAGCTGCAGCCAGTGTAAGGGATGAAAGCGAGGCACAGAGCGGTGACGCAAAAGCCAAATCTTATCGCCACCGAGTCTGTGTTCTTTTTATTACGCGAGTCCCAAATTCCACAGGCAAAAAACGTCAATATTCCCGTAGCTAAAGCCTCAGCCGCGACACCATAACCAGGCGTCAGATTTCTATTAACGTCAGTCGTGCAGAATGAATTTATTGTTGATGTTGTACCGCTGTGCAAAAGGTGCTCCGGCGTTATTCCCTGTAATTAATATTTAAAAAATGTTAGTCTAATTGATACTTTTTGCGATAGCAAGTACAAAACATAATTTAAAAAAAAAACAGCGATTAAAACTATAGATATTACAATGATCTATAAAATTCTAATATTTTTAAAGACGATTTTTTTTATTAACGAATTAATTCGAATTTATTGATTAGAAATTAAATTTTAAAGATATTTTTTATAGATAATAATTTGCAGATGTTGCAATTAATAAGTACGTGAATGATCTTTAAGATTTTAATGAATGTAATTTCGAGATAACGTGATTTGTGATAACACGTTATGTAAAAAAGGCACGAATTGTAGCGATGGTCACGTTGAAATCATTTTTGTTCATTGAAACGTAATTCGAATATCTTTTACAATCCGTAAATAAGTGTTCATTGACCTTTAATAGGCCGTAACCTAATAGGGCACCCAGACATTGTGCAACGACGTAGAATCCGCTCATTAAAAGAGATTTCTTGCCGAGAATCATTGCAGCCACTGTAATAGCTGGATTGAGATGAGCGCCGCTGATGTGGCCAACGCACTAAAAAAAAAAGAGATGAACAAATAGCGTTAAATAAAAAATAAGATTTGATAGCGTCGAGTTTCAACGCTCGACAGGTTTTTTAGCGTTTGTCATATATATATATATTTTTTTGTTTTTAATTCTTGAAACGCTATATCAATTAAACAGAAAAAATAACAGGTGTTGGTTGTCGAATAAATCGTACCTGTATAGAGATCATGACAGCGATACCGAAAGCAAAGGCAATTTGCAATTGCTTCGGACTCTCTTCCATACTGCCCACGCATGCTGTACATCCCAGAAATACCAGAATTGCCGTTCCAATCAATTCTGCTAAAGCAGTCAGGAATTTGTCATACAACGTGCCGTCTTCCACCATGAGCTTCTTCGACCCTGAAATATGAATGGATATTTCTGTCTTTAACGCGTTATCAATTTATGCATCGCATTATCAATACATCGCGCTGTGTTTCATTGTCATAATGATAAATTTCTAAACATTTATTATAAATTAAAAGTTTGTTTAATAGAAAGAAGACGAGTAAGAATATTTCCGCGATAGAAAATATGCATGTTAAATAAAAAATATTAAAATTATTTATGTCATTCCCGTGAATAAATCAAAATATTTTATGTGAATTATAAGTTTATTAATTAGTTAATTAATTATTCAAGTTATATTATTTAATTTATATAAGAATATGAATAGACATTTTTCTTTTCAATATATCAACAATTTATGCGAAGTATTAAATATTAAGTAATTTTTATGAACTATAACGAATTAAAAACGTGAAACTGCCGAATTAAAATTTGCGAATTGCCACGGCAAACTAAAAAATAGAACGCAGCTTTGTAGGAAATGCTGCTTGTGTGCATGCATCACCCTTGTCCTTTTGTAAAGAATATGAAAACTTGCATTCTCATTACCGACTCGGTTTTGTATCGTGCACGATAGCGTATTCAATTAAAAGATTGCGCAAACGGACTAATGAAGGCGCACACATTTTTATTTCTGTGCATTAAATGAGCCAAAGCCGACCGTTGAATGTATAATCGAGAGAAGTCAAGAGGCAAAAAATGGCTTGCTGAATGTAATCGTGCAAAGGCATTTTGTGGTCAATGATAATACATATGTATAGAGTGACGATACGCACACAAGCAAAATATTGTATTAAAATTGCCTAACAACCTATGTACAAGTCTCTTGAATTATTAGCATAACAGCGACAAAAGAGCAAGGCATGATTCAGCAGGATTGCATAGATTCTGAAGTGTATTTTTGCGGGATTTTAAAAGAATTAGAGTAGGCAGAGGCAAATTTTATTTTGTGTAATTTATTTCGTATTTTTAAAAATTTAACATGAAACTAGAAGTGCTAAATCTTTAACATTATTTCTTCAAAATTAATATTTTTGTTGAAAATGTAGATACAATTTATTAAAGCATTTGCGAAATACGAAACAAATTTTTTTTTTTCTTGAATTAAATATTATTTAGAAGAATCGTCTTTTCTGAAATTTTTATCTTTTCAGATCGACAGGTAGAATACGTTTGTAAAATACGAAACAAATGTGACAGAATATTTTTTCATTTTCTTGAATCAAATATTATTTAAGAGGATCGTACTTCCTGAAATTTTTATCTTTAAAATCTACAGTGTTTTTGCGTCAAGTTTCCATTTAATAAAATATTCGATTGTTCCTTAATGAATTCCGAAAGTATAATAGAGTTCGGCGGAGAAGCGTTTTTGGATCGACAGGTAGAATAACTTGGACTGCCACTTTGCTGTAAACTTTCGAGTGGAAACTTTGTTCGCTCCACGTCGAATACGATTACCACTGATATAAACCTATGGAAGTACGGGTCAACGCTGAATTTACATGAAAGCATCGGTAGAGTTATGTACATTGAAAGTCTATGTTCGAGCAACTCTAGCGTTGTTAAGGATGCTGGACTTCGATAAGTATTCTCCGTCGAATATCGAACGGTGCCTGTTATTTTTCCTTGACAAGGCGACAGTAGTTTCCTCTTGTAAAATTCCTCCGTTGTAATTCTCGCGAGAGCTCGCACATGAAATTTTCACAGAGGGGCTTTGAAATTTTCGCTTGAAAAGCCGAAAGTTGAACCGAATTACAGTTTACGGCAACTAAATTAAAGTACGCCCTTTGAACAAGCTTGCCATCGTGGCGCTCATCATTCTCGCATTATTTTGCCAAGCAACTTTCATTTATTTCGTTCCGCGTATTTTAATCTAACTTTGCAATGTAAGAATTAAGTTACGTTCAGAATGGAAGATGAGTGCAGTTTCTTCTTCGTCTTTTTCGATTGCACTCGCGATATTGTAATATTAATACGAAATGTATCAGAAATTATCGCGTGTTGAGTAACATTCTCGGGTCAGTATTATCTAATCTATTTCAGGCGCCAACGAAACAGTATTATTGACGAAGTAATCACTGTAGCTATGACTCCGTGACATTTGTTCTTGTATATTGCATTCAGAATTTTACGACATGTTTCAAAAGTCCTATAAAAAAAATATCAAAAATATTAGATTGGAAATATTGGATAAAATCGCTGTTTTTTAAATAGAATGTTATAAAAAGTACCATGATAAAACAGAAGTCGACATCACTTCTATGTCATTTTATATCCTGCAAAAAAATGTATGTTAATCAATTGAGAGAGAGAGATTGCTGCGCTACATCCGTATTTCACATTTCCTGAACGGATCATTCAGACCCATCATGCGCGCGCCCCCGACTTCCATTCATACGATATTCATAACTTCACGTACGGATGTCAATACCCTTCGGGTTTAATCGCGCTTATACATATACATATCCGGCCTGCGCTTCTGAACTATGCAGAGAGATGCCGAAGCACGTTTGCCCTAGAATTACGGCCGAGTTCTCGTGATTAACCGTGTGTCGCGCGGATATAATTAGAAGCGGGCACGTGTCACGTATGGTTTCCATTAACACACAGACTCGGTGTGACGCGGAGCAAGACCGATAGTGATCAGTCATTGACATTCATGGATTAGCTGGATTTCGATACGATGACGAAGTGCAATCCGACGTATTAGAAACCGATCAAACTCGCGTGTTTATCCTTTTAAAAATAAGCACTTCCAATCACATCGATTGCGAAATTGTATACGCGTAAATATTTCACATACCATGCAAAGTATATTTTATATATTGTTTTATGTAATATTTTTGTCAAACTATTCATACTGAAAAAATTTGTCAACATTTTTTATCGTTTATATTCAAAATTGTGCAAGAAATAATTCAATCATAAAAGTCTACCAATATATTCAATCGACACATAAAGAAATTAGAACACGATTTTGCGAGCTCTCTTAATGTTTCGCTAATTTATCGCCAGTTAATGACCTGATGGTCGTAAAGATGATGAAGTGTTGGCGGAATAAAGTGTAGAAAGTGCTATTGCGCGCATGTTGTACATTAGAGTCGAATAGAAACCTACATATGAGAAGAACATATGCGATCATTTTGAGAGAAACAGTATATACCTATATATATTTAACGGTATTCAGGGAAATAATATCCTTTCCAGCAACACGTGCACTTTCCATGTAATTTGGACGCTATGATATCTCTAATCATTAATTAAAAAACCGAATCGCGGAGAACGGAGAGGCTGCTGGTAATTAGCAGGAAAGCGTCGGAGCGTAATTACGAATTGAGAAAGTAATCAACAATTATGTTTGCCGGGTGTAATATCTTGCATTTTTATATATTTTACCCTCCATGCCCTTTTTTTTTACTTTTAATACGTTATGCTAGCTATCACTTGATGGAATCAAGACAAAACTGTCGGATCGTGCGGAAGTTGTGCGAACGATATATTAGGGAGAAAGGAAAAGGGAAAACTCAGGTCGAGAAAGATGCGCGTTCACGATGCCGATGTATTTTCATCGATGCACCATCTACGGTATTTTTCGAACAAATATGAATTAATACGTCCCTCTGACATCTTGGAAAATTGCCATCAATATACCGACAAGCATGCATGATTTTACCGCCTACCGATAGTGTATGAGAGAACAGCAGAGACCTGCCGTATCGTAGTTTATTGTACAATAAATTGATAAGAAACATTGCGAATCTCGCGTATTGAAATATTTATGCATTTGTGCTATCTTTGTTGCTTGCCTATTATCGGAATGTACTATTAAAAGTTTGAGTAACGTTTCAAAACTGAAAAAAATATATTTAATTTATTGTACAATGATAATATTTTATAACATTATACTCAATATCAATTTAATAACAGAGTTTTATATTGCAGATAACATTGTTAGGAATAATTTTATCAAATTGCAATTGCAGTTTCACAAAAAATACATTTTAGATTAAATGCAACACATGATTCTGTGCGATAATTTATCCAATTAACAGACCACTTAACTTTTTGCAATCAGTAGTTAATTATTTGCAGTGCGCTTCGTAATTAGATAGCATACGCGGATGCAATTTTCTCTCGATGATTCGCCGCGATATAACATCAGAAAATGTCCAGCATGCCGCGAATTTCAACGATCCCTTTAAGCGGCGATAGTGAACTTTCCATAAACCAGGCAAACAGGGTAGAAAGTTAGTTTTTTGTCATAATGTAATATACGATGACGTGTGCAATAAAAGGTACACTTTGTATTCATAATTCCATAATTCGACACGCGAAAATTTCAAAAAAGAAACTTACGATACACTCGTGATTTCGTCAAAGTAAAATTTTTCTTTCTTAATAATATATATGTCACGTTGATATGTATGTACACATGTCATCGATTAAAGAGGCAATATTTGATCAACTGGCCACAATTGATATTAATAAAACGATAAGATAACGCGAGTGGATTAATCAGCTTTCGCCGCCAGACACCTGCATAGATATGCGTAAAAATATGTACATTGTTAAATTAATCAATGTTATAAGTCACAGTTGTTTTACGTAAAAATTTTTAACATTTTGTTATATCATCAAACTTTCTGAGGAAATATTTTTTTTTTATTCTTAGACAATCTTGAGGCGATAAATTCAATTCTCAATTCATCTATAAAAACATATTGCATCAATTATTCTAATTATCAATTCCATTATACGCTGTGTGCCGTTAATTAGGCGATGTATAAACTTATTTTAATCAAAATTATGTGTGACTGCGTTTGCTTTGTAATTACAATTTGTAATACGCTCGTCATAATTTTCTAATTAATATGAATAAAGCATTTCACCAATTAGTATAATTAGATTTCCGATTTATCCGATAATGGATAAACTTGTTGAACTTTTGCTGGGGATCGATCGAGAATTAGAATGTTTATTCGATACAACACACATTATGCGTACGCATCGTA